GCATAGTTTGCAAATATTTTTCCCCATTCTGTTGGTTCCCTCTTCAGTTTCCTGACTTTTTTTTGCATTACATAAACTTCTCAATTTGATGTAATCCCAGTTGTTAATTTTGGCTTTGTTTTCCTGTGCTTCTGGGGTCTTTTCCAAGATGTCTTGGCCTGTGCCTACGTCTTGCAGGTTTTCTCCAAAGTTCTCTAATAATTTGATGGTGTCAGGTCATAAATTTAGATCTTTAATCCATGTTGGAGGGATTTTTGTGTAAGGTGTAAAGTGTGGAAATTCAGTTTCCGCAGCACCATTTGTTGAATAGACTGTTCTTGCTCCAGGAATTGGTTTTAACTCCTTGATCAAAAATAAGTTGGAGGGCTGGTGCTGTGGCACAGTGGGTTAAAGCCCTCCCCTGAAGCACTGGCATCTCTTATGGGCACGGTTTCTAGTCTCAGCTTCTCCTCTTCTGATCCAGCTCTCTGCTATGTCCTGGGAAAGCAGTAGAAGATGGCTCAAGTCTTTGGGCTTCTGCCTCTATGTTGGAGATCTGGAAGAAGCTCCTGCTCCTGGCTCCGGATCGGCGCTGCTCTAGCAGTTGCGGCCATCTGGGGCGTGAACCAGCAGATGGAAGACCTCTCTCTATTGTCTCTGACTCTCTCTGTAACTCTGCATTTCATATAAATTAAATAAATCTTATAAAATAGAAGTTGGTTATAGATGTTTGGATTGATTTCAGGTGTTTCTGTTCTGTTCCATTGGTCTATCCATCTGTTTTTGTACCAGTACTAGGTGATTTTGATTATAACTGCCCTGTAGTATGTCTTGAATCTGTTATTGGGATGCCTCTAGCTCTGTTTTTGTTGTATAAGATTGCTTTGGCTATTCGAGGTCTCCTGTGCCTCCATATGAATTTCAGCATTTCTTTTTTCCAAATCTGAGAAGAACATCTTTGATATTTTGATTGGTATCACATTGAATCTATAAATTGATTTTGGAAGAATGGACATTTTGATGATATTAATGATTCCAATCCACAACCATGTAAAATTTCTTCATTTTTTGGTATCTTCTTCTATTTCTTTCTTTAAAGTTTTATAATTCTCATCATCACGTTCTTTGACATCCTTGGTTAAGTTTACTCCAAGATATTTGATTTTTTTTAGCTATTGTGAGTGATATTGATCTTAGAAGTTCTTTCCTAGCTGTGGCATTGCCTGTGTATACAAAGGCTGTTGATTTTTGTACATAGTTTTTATATCCTGGTACATAGCCAAACTCTTCTATGAGTTCCAATAATCTCTTAGTAGAGTTCTTTGGATCCTCTAAATAAAGAATCATATCATCTGCAAAGAGGGATAGTTTGACTTCTTCCTTTCCAATTTGATCCCCTTGATTTCTTTTCTTTTCTTTTGCCTAATGGCTCTGGCTAAAACTTCTAGTACTGTATGAAATAGCAATGATGAGAATGGGCATCTCTGTCTGGCACTGGATCTCAGTGGGAATGCTTACAACTTTTCTCCACTGAGTAGAATGCTGGCCGTGTGTTTGTCATAAATTTCCTTTATTGTGTTGAGGAGTGTTCCTTCTATACACAGCTTACTTAGAGTTTTCCACCATGATAGGGTGTCATATTTTTTCAAATGCTTTCTCTGCATGTATTGAGATAATCATATGGTTTTCTTCTGCAGGTTGTTAATGTGGTGTATCACATTGTTTGTTTTGTGAATGTTGAACAATCCCTGCATACCAAAGATAAATCCCAGGTGGTCTGGGTGGATGATATTTCTGATGTGGTGTTGCATTCTATTGGCTAGAATCTTATTGAGGATTTTTGTGTCCATGTTCATAAGGGAATTGTTCTGTAATTCTCTTTCAATGTTGCATCATGTTTAAGTTTAGGAATTAAGGTGATGCTGGCTTCATGGAAAGAATTTGGGAGGATCCCTCTGTTTCAATTGTTTTGAATAGCTTGAGAAGGATTGGAGTTGGTTCTTTACATTTCAGGTAGAATTCAGCAGTGAATGCATCTGGTCCTGGGCTTTTCTTTGTTGTGAGGGCCTTTATTACTGATTCAATTTCTGTCTTGATTATGTGTCTGTTTAGGTTTTCTATATCTTCATGGTTCAAGGTAGGTCTTAGGTGTCCAGGAATCTATCCATTTCTGCTAGATTTCCCAGTTTGTTGGCATACAACTCTTTGTAGTAATTTCTGCTACCTCTTTTAATTTCTGTGGTGTCTGATGTTACATTCCCTTTTTCATCTCTATTTTTATTGATTTCGGTCTTCTCTCTCCTTTTTTTGGTTAGTTGGGCCAATGGGGTGTCAATTTTGTTTATTTTTTTAAAAGTACCTCTTCGTATTGCCAATATTTGGTAATGTTTTTTAGATTCAAATTTGTTGATTTCTTCTCTAATTTTAATTACAGATTTTGTTGCTGGTGGATTTCTTAAGAGAGCCATTCTAACAGGAGTGAAGTGAAACCTCATTGTGGTTTTGATTTGCATTTCCCTGATGGCTAGTGATCCTGAGCATATTTTTAAGTGTCTGTTAGCAATTTGAATTTCCTCTTTTGAAAAATACCTATTCAAGTCCTTTGCCCATTTCTTTCTTAATGGGGTTGTATTTTTTTGTTGTTGTTGAATTTCTTAAGCTCTTTATAGATACTGCATGTTAACCCTTTATCAGTTGCATAGTTTGCAAATACTTTCTTCCATCTGTTGATAGCCTCTCCATTTTGCTGCGTGTTTCTTTTGTGGTGCAGTAGCTTTTCGGCTTGATGTAATCTCATTTGTTAATCTTGGCTTTGATTGCCTGTGCTTCTGGGGTCTTTTCAAGAGTCTTTGCCTATGCCAAAGTCTTGCAGAATTTCCCCAATGTTCTCTCGTAATTTGATGGTATTGGGTCATAGATTTAGGCCTTTGATCCATTTTGAGTGTGTTTTTGTGTACGTTGTAAGGTACGGGTCTAATTTTACACTTCTGTAAGTGGAGATCCAGTTTCCCCAGCACAATTTGTTGAGGAGATTGTGCCTTCTTCAGGGATTTATTTTATTCCTTTGTCAAATATAAGTTGGTTGTGGATGCATGGATCGATTTCTGGAGTTAAGAGCCTATTACATTTATTCTCTTCTGTTTGTTGACTTACTTTTTCAGGGATTTCTGTTGAACTTCATCTGATATGTTACGCAGGACAAAGTGCTTCAAGAATTCGAATGCAACTCATGAGAAAACAAAGATAAACAAATGGGTCAAATTTTTTGAAATTATGCAAAAACCAGCATATATGGACATATTGGATAGTAGTTATTACATTTGTATTTCTGTATACACTGTGGCCCATGTGGTTAGGAGATACATTTTTTGAAAGTAGAAATGAGTTCTACATAATATCCTAAGATGACTCTGGGAAATACAGTGTGTTACAAAATCTGCAAGAATCAAGGAGCAGAAATTGTGGTCATATTTCTTATATATGAGACTATTGAGGATGCACATTAGTTAGCACAGGATATGTCCTCTGGGTTACAGATGGTTTTGCCTAGATTTTCCTCACAGCTTATTTGAATCTACTCTTTCCCCATATATAGAATATATTTAGGAAGTTCTGTTTGCATGTGAAAAGTACAAATAGATGAATAAATTTGTTGAACAAATAGGTGTGTTATGTAGAAGACAAATATGTATATGTAAAAAATAACATCAGAAAGTTCACTTCATAATCTATCTTCTATTTTACTTATAGGAGTGTTTTATTTTTTATTTTACTTTTTATTTTTTTGACAGGCAGAGTGGACAGTGAGAGAGAGAGAGACAGAGAGAAAGCTCTTCCTTCACTGTTGGTCCACCTCCAATGGCCGCTGTGGCTGGCGTCCTGCAGCCAGTGCACCACGCTAATCTGAAGGCAGGAGCCAGGTGCTTCTCCTGGTCTCCCATGTGGGTGCAGGGCCCAAGCACTTGTACCATCCTCCACTGCACTGCCGGGCCACAGCTGAGAGCTGGCCTGGAAGAGGGGCAACCGGGACAGAATCCAGTGCCCCGACTTGGACTAGAACCTGGTGTGCTGTTGCCACAAGGTGGAGGATTAGCCTATTGAACTGCGGCGCCGGCTGAGTGTTTTATTTTTATTTGTGATTAGATTCAAACTTTAGAAAAGTAAACAGAATTCTTCCCCAGAAATAACTATGGATTATTTGGAAATCTTCTACAAATTATTTAAGAACTAACTGATAGCTATTTAAATATAAAAACTTAGTTTTATCCTGCAGCAGGTGTGTTGTACCCAGAATGTCAAGGGTTAGCATATACTATGGGTAACCTCAGGACCATCAGTATATTTGTTTTTGGCCATACAGTCCTACCTGGAATGTCAAAGGTAATCACACTTACCATAAAAAGTGACCCAAAATATTTAGAGAAAAAACACTCATGTATTATTTCAAGCTCTGTTAAGATATAAATGCATATATCTATGTATCATTGCATATATAGAAGACATGCACACATTTTTATAAATATGGATCTCAGTGCTAAGAGGGGTCTTGAGTCAGTTCATGGAAAATGTATATGATGAAATTAGCATACATGTTTATCTAATTTTTCAATCAAAATAACTGATATTTCATTCTGTTCTTGAACCTCATGAAGCCCCTTTGTATGCACATAACTGTGACATATCACAACTGTCAAGGTATTTAAAAGACCAACCATGTTGTACTCAATTGGTTATATTAGGGTTAGCTTCCATAAAGCCCCACCTAAACCTTCATGGCTGCAGCAGAGCCTTGCAATAGTTCCCCTCTGAACCCCACAAACTACAATTTTTCTGACTGGATACAACCATTATACTTTTTTTTGAGGGGGGGGGATCAAATGTTCTCTTTACTAGAAGTTGTTGACCATCCAAAGAATTAAGCCTGGAAAATAGAGAAAAGGATAGAAAATGCTTGTTCAGTGCATATACATCTCCCTCTAATTTGAAAGGTCTCCCTGTTTCCACTTATTCCTGTTCTCCAGCTTCATCCAATCCTGAGGAAAATCCAGTTTACAAACCGTGCTGGAGATGATGTGTTTTTCCATGAAACAAGACACCATGTGGTACATTATGATATTCAGAACATTGTAAATTTTCCTGCTGGATTTCGCTTGCTGGTTAAAATTGGAGAATTTTCCTCTAAGAGTCCACATGACCAAGATTTGCTGATCAATGAAGACATTATAGAATGGCCTGTTGGATTCAAAAAGGTGCAGTTTTCTTTTTATATTGGATAACTACAGAGAGATCTGAGTAGAGCCTTGGGAGATTAAGTGTGAAGTGACCATGTGATTCCCATTTCCCATCTTGGCACTTAACTGATGGTGTTCCTTACACATATCCTGAGCTAACACCTATCAGAAGAGCATGAGTGCATAGCCTTACCTTTTCAGTTTTGTCATAATTATTGGTGTAGCAGTTGAGTTAAAACTAGACAAAGTTAATGAATAGAGGCAGAGACCCACGTATAGATATATAGATCTTTAACATATCTCTGTATATATTCTCAACTCTTTAATCTCATAAGTCACAGTCTTTCTTATTTTTTTTAAATGTTTTATTTCAATGGCAGAGTTAGAGAGAGGAGAGTGGTGGGGGGAGATATCTTCTGTCTGCTGGTTTATTCCACCAATGGACAACAGGCAGGGCTGGGCAGGTCCAAAGTCAAGAGCCAGGAACTGCTTGTGGGTCACTCATGTGGGTCAGGGGTCCAAACACTTGGTCCATTCTCTGCTGCTTTCCAAGGCATGTTAGCAGGGAGGTGGATTGGAAATGGAGCAGCTGGGAATAGAAATGGTGCCCATATGGAATGCTGGTGCATCAGGAGGTGATTTAATGTGCTACACCACAAGACTGGCCCCCCTTGTATTATATGTATATGTATATATGTACATATAAATATATATATATATATTTATATTAAACAGGCAGAGTGGACAGTGAGAGAGAGAGATAGAGAAAGTATTCCTTTGCCGTTGGTTCACCCTCCAATGGCCACCGTGGCCAGTGCACCGCGCTGATCTGAAGGCAGGAGCCAGGTGCTTTTCCTGGTCTCCCATGGGGTGCAGGGCCCAAGCACTTGGGCCATCCTCCACTGTACTCCCTGGCCACAGCAGAGAGCTGGCCTGGTAGAGGGGCAACTGGGACAGAATGTGGCACCCTGACCGGGACTAGAACCCAGTGTGCTGGCACCGCTAGGCGGAGGATTAGCCTATTGAGCTGCAGCGCCAGCCCTGCCCTTGTTATATTTTCATGCATGATAAGTAGAAATACATAATGGGTTGACTTATTCATCTTCTTGCAGATACTATTCCCATATTCCTTTACCACATAGAATAATGCATTTTAAAGATTTTAGATAAAGTGACTTGATATGCATGACATTGCCCAAGGGATCTAACTGATACTATATGAAATAAAATTGAGCAGGTATTTTTGTAATACTTGATAAAGAAACGATGAGGTGGGAGTGATGATCATAGAAACCTGCATTAAATGTCATAGTCATGGCCTTCAGTTGAAGGTCAGTGTTATGCTGTAAGGAGGGAAGTATTGACACCCATTATAATGGCTGATAACGTGGAAAACCATGATCAATGCTTTTCTTTTTCCTTCAGACTCCTCAATCTGTGTGTAGCCAGAGCTGTGGTCCAGGATTTCGGAAAATGTCACAGGAAGGAAGACCTGTCTGTTGCTATACTTGTGTTTTTTGTCCAGAGAGAGATGTTTCCAATCAGACAGGTAGAAAATACAGAATTTCAGATTGACAGCTTTACTGTCCTAATTATTTCTCAATAAAAAAGAAACCAAAGAGATTTGCAGTGACTTCATACTGCACCACGGTTCTCAATGCCAGCTTATTCTCATTCATTCAGTGTAACCATGCATGATTATTACTGCTACTTCTTTATGTGTAAGCTGTTGTCTAGTGATATTCCTTCTAAAATATATCTGAAAGTGCTAGATAAGACAGCATTCTTCTCTGATTTGCAGGTCGAACTCACTATATTCTTTTTTTTAATTTTTTGACATGCAGAGTGGACAGTGAGAGAGAGAGACAGAGAGAAAGGTCTTCCTTTGCCACTGGTTCACCCTCCAATGGCCGCCACGGCCGGCGCGCTGCGGCCGGCGCACCACGCTGATCCGATGGCAGGAGTCAGATACTTATCCTGGTCTCCCATAGGGTGCAGGGCCCAAGTACTTGGGCCATCCTCCACTGCACTCCTTGGCCACAGCAGAGAGCTGGCCTGGAAGAGGGGCAACCGGGACAGAATCCGGCATCCGACTGGGACTAGAACCTGGTGTGCCGGCGCTGCAAGGCAGATGATTAGCCTAGTGAGCCATGGCGCCGGCCGAACACATTATGTTCTAAGACATATAAGATGTGTAAAAACCTAGGCTTCCTGTTGGTGCCTAGAAGTCTTGAAACGAATACATTTTTATACACACATGATAAGCACAAAGCTATTGCACATATTTCATTATATAATTATTGCATTCCTTTTTTTAAACTTTTATTTAATGAATATAAATTTCCAAAGTACAGCTTATGGATTACAATGGCTCCCCCCCCATAACTTCCTCCCATCTGAAACCCCATTTCCTTCTCCCTCCCCCCTTCCATTCACATCAAGATTCATTTTCCATTCTCTTTATATACAGAAGAGCAGCTTAGCATATATTAAGTAAAGATTTCAACAGTTTGCACCCACATAGAAACAGAAAGTGAAACATAATGTTTGAGTACTAGTTATAGCAGTAAATCACAATGTACAGCACATTAAGGACAGAGATCCTACATGAGGAGTAAGTGCACAGTGACTCCTGTTGTTGACTTAACAAATTGACACTCTTGTTTATGGCATCAGTAATCACCCTAGGCTCTTGTCATGAGTTTCCAAGGCTATGGAAGCCTTTTGAGTTCACCGACTCTTATCTTATTTAGACAAGGTCATAGTCAAAGTGGAAGTTCTCTCCTCCCTTCAGAGAAAGGTACCTCCTTCTTTGATGACCTGTTCTTTTCACTGGGATCTCACTTTGTGGAGATCTTTCGTTTAGTTTTTTTTTTTTTTTTTTTTTTTGCCAGAGTGTTTTGGCTTTCCATGCATGCAATACCCTCATGGGCTTTACAGCCAGATCCGAGTGCCTTAAAGGCTGATTCTGAGGCCAGAGTGCTGTTTTGGAATCTGCCATTCTATGGGTCTGCTGTGTATCTCACTTCCCTGTTGGATCATTCTCTCCCTTTTTTATTCTATCAGCTAGTATTAGCAGACACTAGTCTTGTTTATGTGCTCCCTTTGTCTCTTAGTCCTATCATTATGATCAATTGTGCACAGAAATTGATCAACGGGACTAGTGAGATGGCATTGGTACATGCCACCTTGATGGGGTTGAATTGGAATCCCCTGGTATGTTTGTAACTCTACCATTTGAGGTAAGTCAGCTTGAGCATGTCCCGAATTGCACATCTCTTCCCTCTCTTATTCCCACTCTTATATTTAACATCGATCACATTTCAGTTAAGTTTCAACACTTGAAAATAACTGTGTATTGATTACCGTATTCAACCAAAAGTATTAAGTAGAACAAAAGAAAATACTAAGAGGGATAACGTATTAAGTTGTTCATCAACAGTCAGGGTGAGGGCTGATCAGGTCACCGTTTCTCATTGTGTCCATTTCACTTCAGGAGTTTTCCTTTTTGGCGCTCAGTTGTCACCAATCAGGGAGAACATATGGTATTTATCTCTTTGGGACTGGCTTATTTCACTCAGCATAATGCCTTCCAAATTCCAAACAGGGATCACTTTTCAATTAAAATTTAAACACCCAAGAATAATTGTGTGTTAATTACAGAGTTCAACCAATAGTACTAGAACAAAAAAATACTAAAATGGATAAAGTATTACATTGTATATCAACCATCAGGACAAGAGCTGATCAGGTCACTGTTTCTCATAGTGTCCATTTCACTTCAACAAGTTTCCCCTTTGGTGCTCAGTTAGTTGTCACCGATCAGGGAGAACATATGATATTTGTCTCTTTGGGACTGGCTTAATTCACTCAGCAGGATGTTTTCCAATTCTTCCATCTGTTAGAAATGACAGGATTTCATTGTTCTTGACTGCTGTATAGTATTCTATAGAGTACATGTCCCATTATTTCTTTATCCAGTCTACTGTTGATGGGCATTTGGGTTGGTTCCAGGTCTTAGCTATTGTTAATTGAGCTGCAATAAACATTAATGAGCAGACAGCTTGTTTGTTTGCCAATTTCATTTCCTTTGGGTGAATTCCAAGGAGTGGGATGGCTGGGTTGAATGGTAGGGTTATATTCAGGTTTCTGAGGAATCTCCAGACTGACATCCATAGTGGCTTAACCAGTTTGCAATCCCACCAACAGTGGGTTAGTGTCCCTTTTTCCCCACATGCTCTCCAGCATCTGTTGTTGTAGATTTCTGAATGTGAGCCATTCTAACCGGGGTGAGGTGAAACCTCAATGTGATTTTGATTTGCATTTCCCTGATTGCTAATGACCTGAACATTTTTCATGTGCCTGTTGGCCATTGGACTTCCTCTTTTGAAAAATGTCTATTGAGGTCCTTGGCCCATCTCTTAAGTGGGTGGTTTGTTTTGATGTTGTGGAGTTTCTTGATTCTTTGTAGATTCTGGTTATCAACCCTTTATCAGTTGCATAGTTTGCAAATATATTTTCCCATTCTGTCAGTTGCCCCTTCACTTTCCTGACTGTTTCTTTTGCAGTACAGAAACTTCTCAATTTGATGCATTCCCAAATTGAATTTTGGTTTTGACTGCCTGTGCTTCTGGGGTGTTTTCCAAGAAGTCTTTGCCGGTACCTATATCTTGCAGGGTTTTTCCAATGCTCTCTAGTAATTTGATGGTGTTGGGTCATAGATTTAAGTCTTTATTCCATGTTGAGGGAATTTTTGTGTAAGGTGAAAAGTAGGGGTCTTGCTTCATGATTCTGCATGTGGAAATCCAGTTTTCCTAGCAGCATTTATTGAATAGACTGTCCTTACTCCAGGGATTGGTTTGGATCCTTGATCAAATATGAGTTGGCTGTAGATGTTTGGGTTGATTTCTGGTGTTTCAATTCTGTTCCCTTGCTCTATCATCTCGTTTCTGTACCAGTACCATGCTGTTTTGATTACAACTGCCCTGTAGTATGTCCTGAAATCTGGTATTATGATGCCTCCGGTTTGTTTTAGTTCTACAAGATTGCTTTAGCTATTCGAGGTCTATTTTGCCTCCATATGAATTTCAGCATCATTTTTCCAGATCTGAGAAGAAGGTCTCCAGTATCATGATTGGTATCGCATTGAATCTGTAAATTGGTTTTGGGAGAATGGACATTTTGATGATATTGATTCTTCCAATCCATGAGCATGGAAGATTTTTCCTTTTTTGATAACCTTTTCAATTTCTTTCTTAAAGATTTTGTAATTCTCATCATAGAGATCTTTAACATCCTTGGTTAAGTTTATTCCAAGGTTGATTGTTTTTGTAGCTAGGTGATCTTCACAAGTTCTCTGCCATGGTATTGCCTGTATATACAAAGGCTGTTGATTTTTGTGCATTGATTTTATACCCTGCTACTTTGCCAAACTCTTCTATGAGTTCCAATAGTCTCTTAGTAGAGTTCTTTGGATTCCGATCATCTAAAAGAGGGATTCTTTCTTCCCAATTTGTAACCCTTTAATTTCTCTTATTGCCTAATAGCTGGCTATAACTTCCAGAAACTATATTAAATAGCATTGGTGAGAGTGGCCATCAATGTCTGGTACCAGATCTCAGTGGAAATGCTTCCAACTTTGTCCCCATTCAATATGATGTTGGCCGTGGGTTTTTCATAAATTGCTTTGATTTTATTGAGGAATGTTCCTTCCATACCCAGTTTGCTTAGAGTTTTCATCATGAACGGGTGTTGTATTTTATCAAATGCTTTCTCGGCATCTATTACGATAATCATATGGTTTTCTTCTGCCGTCTGTCAATGTGGTGTATCACATTGATGGATTTGTGAATGTTGAACATCCCTGCAAGGGATAAATCCCACTTGGTCTGGGTGGATGATCTTTCTGATGTTGTTGCATTCTATTGGCGAGAATTTTATTGAGGGATTTTTGCATCTCTGTTCATCAGGGATATTGGTCGGTCATTCTCTGTC